GCATGGAAACAGTAATGATGGCCTCAGTTTTAGATGGTAAAAGGCATCTGAGACATTTCCATACACAGCATAAGTTTATTGCAGAAAACACAATACTAATATTGGCTGACAGGAAGCAATTAAGTTCATAAGAAAGCAAATTTAGAAACATGTGACAACCTCAAGAGCAGCATTGGCATCTCGAACAGCAGCATTTGGTTTCCTCATTTTGATGTACACGGTAGCTATAGCACAGAAACCATCAAATTCACACGTTAGAGGAGCAAATATAAAATGCCCAAGTTCTTATTTAGCCCTTGTTTGATCCCCATTCTTTGGAAAAAAATGAATTCTTCTACAGTTCTTTGATATCATTTCAACCACACATTCTTCAATAAAATAATATTACACGCAAATTCAAAACTTTTCATTATTTTTTAACCACACATTTCTCATCAATACACTATTCAAAAATTAATTTTTCCCTTTAAAATGGGGCTCAAACAAGGGCTTAAAATAAACATATTAACAGTGTATAATATGAAAAAACCACAAAATTTACCTCGGGTTCCATACATAATAGCTGAGGTAGGATTAAGTAGAATTGCTTTGGTAAGATGCTCGATTGCTTCTTCAAGCTTACCTGATCGATGCAAAACCCTTTTAACATATTACACGAAAATACATACTCAGCCCATGTTTGGTACGGATTAATCTAAGTCAAAGTCAAGAATTAATTAGTCACATATTTTATGGGTCCAACAACTTTTCTACTCAGACGTTTCATCTACTTCTATCAAAATCTACTAAAAAACTAATTTTAATCCCCATCAAGCAGGATCTAAGCTAAAAACTTCTTTCGTAAATATGTATACTAATCAGTGTCCAAATCACCTTCAGAAATTGCTTCCATAGCCTGAATTTTAGCCTCTTGAGAAGCATCACGGTTTTCTTCAGTAACTTCAATGCTCGGGTCTCCCATCTACAAGTTGCAATGTCAATACTTGTTTGCTACCAGAAACATCACGACATTAATCAAATTCAAAGCAAAACAGAAAATGTTGCTTGATCATACCTTCTGTGGAGGTTCATTATCAGGCTCCACCACGTCAGTCTCATCTAGTTCAATGTCAGACTCAATTATCTCAGGTTCTTCTTCTTCTTCGTGCTTAGGGTGAACCTCCTCCTCTATATCATCTAGATCCTCATCGCTCTCATCAAAAGTACGAGACTTCTGTATTCCATTGCATAATAAACTATTCAAAACTCAAATTCCGTAAAGAAAGAATATGCAAAATATTTGCATTTATAACATAAATTTTAAAGCCTAAACTATAGTCGAAAAACCTATTTAATCCGTTACCACCTTCAGAAAACAACAACATTGAAACGAACACAGCTTTAAAACTCAATTTCATGATAACTTTTCATATTTTCTCTTTTTCGAGTCTTTGGCCCTGAGCATTACGAAGTCAATGAAGCTGATTTTTTTCCCTATTCTTAGATCGAACACAAGATAACAAATAGAAAAGACTAAAACTAAATTCTATAAAGAAATAAAATTACCGCTTTGTAACTCCCGGCCTCGCTCGCAGAAGTCGGAATCTTCCCTCCAAGACTGAAAAATAAAAAATATAAGAAAACTCCACAAATTCAACCCTAAATACATCATTGCAACTCAACCAAAATAAACAAATAAATAAACAAGAATTTTCTTATCTGAACACACATATACATAAATATATATATATA